AACTATCCAACTATCCAACTATCCATCTATCCAACTATCCATCTATCCAACTATCCAACTATCCAACTATCCAACTATCCAACTATCCAACTATCCAACTATCCAACTATCCAACTATCCATCTATCCATCTATCCATCTATCTATCTATCCATCTATCCAACTATCCATCTATCTATTTATCCAACTATCCAACTAACTGTCTACCTGCACAAAGAAGTGAGGAAAAACACCAACCAAAATCAAGGATTTCAGCATTTTTCCATTTTTCTGAAATTTATTTTGTTTTAATGCTTACAGGTCATGTTCTAAAGAAAATAAGAGTTAACTAGGTTTACTTCCGTTGTACTTGAAGGGCGGGTAGTAAACGAGGTCGGAGGGCGGGGGCCTAATATTGAATTGAAAATCAAATATAATAGGGTGTCTAAAAATCAAAATGAGGGACTATTGACCTAACTTGAAGTGATTTAATATTTGAAGAATTGCATGCCAGGTTCGTAAGGGGACCCTTTAACACTTTTACCCTGCAACAAGGTGGAAAATATCCCCGTTTTCCATCTTAAACAACATATCAATTATCTGTTTCTAACAAGGAGGAATATATCCCCGTTTATTATCAACCTTCAGNTCGACGTTTTACTGTCTGGAGAAAAAATTAATTCTGATAATTTCCGATTGTTGTCTTTACTGCAAGAGACCCGCTCGTTATTTTTCTACTTTTTGCTCAGATGAATGTTTAAAATTAAAGGGAACTACCATTACTCAGGGCATATCTCTTTTTAAATAAATGGTTACGTCTAAAATACGTTAAAAATGCCCTAGAATATACTTAATGATTACTATTCAGTACTAACATATATTCATCAAAAAATAACATTATGTACGTTAAACAACCGTTAACCTATCTTTGTTAACATAAAAATGTACTGCACATTTTGGGAGGAATGTAAACAAATAAAGCGCTGCTCGGGCTCAGTTTGATTACTTTCCTCCCAGAAATGCAAAGAAAAACATATTATATAATTCAGGATAAAAACCAAAAAGGAGGGGGAAACAAACCGTTTATATATTTAATCCGAGCCCCATTTTCCTCATTCTCGGGGGGCTCAGATGATGAATCAATGGTTATGATTAGGTATTCCATAATAACTCTAAAAAAGAAATCTTAAATTTTTTGCCTTTTGGTATGCTTTGATAAAGAAAACATATTAAATTTAAAAACTGCATTCAGGGTTATTAAAACTGTAGAGAATAAAAAAGAAAAAATGGGCCTTGTTTGTACATTGCCCGCTGGAAAAATGTTGATTTTTTCACCAAAATCGTTAATTCCTATTTAATCCCAGGCATTAGAAAAGATTTTTCAAGAAATTCTTAACCCATAATTAATAATTACATCATTGCATGGATGCAAGATACTGGATNGAAGAAAAAATATTCATTTGAAAACAGTTGTGTGCAATGTTTTCCCCCATAATCTGATAACAATTTTTGAGAAATCAACTTTTATCATGAAAAAAATATCCAGTTGTGTAGCAAAGATAAGTAGTTTTCCAAATTTGCCAAATCCAAATTTACTTTACAATACTTTAATTTCCCCCATACTTCAAAACTAAACTTAAAAAATTGGTGAAACTAATGTCAAGGGTCTTACGGATGAATGTTTAAAGGGACTATATTTGTAATTCTAAATGCTCCTGCAATTAAAGATCGTCCGATTCACAACCGTACCCTTTTAACCTTAACTGATCCAATAGTGTGGAAAACATAGTCGGTTTTCACCCTTGGCAAACATAGTTGGTTTTCAACCTTAAACTAGTCGGTTTTCAACCTAAAACACTGTTGGTTTTTAACCTTAAATATAGTCGTTTTTCAACCTTAAACATAGTCGGTTTTCAACTTTAAATATAGTCCGTTTATAACCTTAAACATAGTCGGTTTTCAACCTTAAACATAGACGGTTTTCAACCTTAAATATAGTCGGTTTTTAATCTTAAACATAGTGGGTTTTCAACCTTATACATAGTCGGTTTTCAACCTTAAATATAGTCGTTTTTCAAACTTAAACATAGTCGGTTTTCACCCTTGGCAAACATAGTTGGTTTTCAACCTTAAACTAGTCGGTTTTCAACCTTAAACACTGTTGGTTTTTAAACTTAACTATAGTCGCTTTTCAACCTTAAACATAGTTGTGTTTCAACCTTAAACATAGTCCGTTTATAACCTTAAGGCTTAAACATAGTCGGTTTTCAATCTTAAACATAGTGGGTTTTCAACCTTAAACATAGTCGATTATCAACCTTAAATATAGTCGTTTTTCAACTTTAAACATAGTCGGTTTTCAAACTTAAACATAGTCGGTTTTCAACCACAAACATAGTCAGTTTTCAACCTTAAACATAGTAGGTTTTTAACCTTAAACATAGTCAGTTTTTAACCTTAAACATAGTCGGTTTTCATCCTTGAAAAAGTGTTTAATTTCAAAAATTGCCTTTCTTATTTCTACAGCAGAAATATGAAAGTCACGATAACCACAATTGAAAATAGTCAATTTGAATTAAAAACATGAATTTCTCATTATTGCTTGATTGAACAAAGCTTAACAACACATAGATGTGAATGGGACATCCCACTTTATAAATGGAGGTTATCTCAAAATAACTTCAAAACTTCAAAAATATAACATTTTTTTCAAACAATCTGCTATTTTTCATGAACGCCCCATTAGAATTGATAAGTTTACTTACGATGCTGGTGGAGAAGGATCCACTGGATTATTTGGTTTAGTTTCAATGACGGTAAAGTCTAAAAATATGTTTCATCTTACAAGTGGCAAACCTACAAAACGACATAATATGGACGTAACATTGTTCTTGCAATTTAAAGATCGTCAGTCATATTTGATAAAATTTGCAGCATTCATTAGTCAGATTAATTTTACAAGCATGATTTCTGAAACAATTATCAATAGGCCTTATTCCGGCATTCCAAAATGTGGTCTGTCTTTTTTTGTGCTATCAAAATTACCATGTTGATACAGAATCTTTTTTGGTGATTATTGATTTAAAAATTAGTAAATAATTATAGTAAATTGACAAATACATGCCATAAATAAAATATTTCAAAAGACGCGTGGCCCACGCTGTAAATTTTAAATAATCATGTCATTCTAATTTTTCTTTCTAACCCTAACCTTGCGATTACATAATTTTAAAGTTAAAATACCTAAAAACAAAACCTTACTTTAATTTTGCATTTTTAAAAACAAAGAATTTTGAAGAAATTAATATCTATGCTCTAAAATATTAAAATTTGAGCGACATTAAAATACACTTACTGTCGTCTTCTCTCTCCGAAAGATCAGGGGAATGATGTGATCCTATAAATAAACAGATCTAGATTGGGAACCCAGCTTTGCCTGGCAACTATAAAAGACAAACAACCGACTTCATTTCGAATTTTTAACAAAGCAAAACCATTTCTGTGGTTCTATATAGTTCCCAAATCAAAACTTGAGGTCAAAGGGTTTCTGAGTTATGATTTGTGATCATGCGAAAAAGTTTATATTATGAATAAACCCAAAGTCTAAACCTAAAATGCAAAGGAGGGGAGGTTAAAAAAAAATAGCAGGAATTTGATAATAACAACATAGCAAGCTGACAAGTTACCGATGGAAAATTTACGAAATAACCAGAGAAAGGGGGCAACATTTGTATGGAAATTTGCACCATAATCCCCCCCCCCCTCCTTCTTACCATCGGCTTTTCCAAAGTTTTTAAATTTAAATTACCAAAATACCAGGGGGTGAATGGCATAAAAGTTTCTATGTGCTTCGCGTGCAATTCTTCAATTACCCCCCTCCCGTATAAAAGAATGCAGCCCCTGACTACCTGAGGGACTTGATGGCTCCTTCTTGCTTTTCCCGAATAATCTGGAAAGCGCCATTTTGTATTTTAGTATTAAGTACTAAGTAAACCACTTAGCAATGTACAGTACACGGTTTTCTGAAAAACAAACAATTTGCGCGTTTAAAAACAAAACAAAATACCTAATTTTTAACAAACAATCGAATTTTCTAACACATTTTATTAAGTTTTTTTTTTTAAATCTGTCATTAAAATTTAAAGAATAATTTTCAACTTTTTCTTCTGAACTCATCCTTCTCTACTCCAGCACCGAACAGATTCAGTTATTTCCATCTAGAAAATTATTTTAAATTAAAAAATAACAAAATATCCAAACGGAAGCATTTTCCCAGTTTCCAGTGAAGCGAATGTTAATACAAGCTAATTTAACTGACTTGCCCGTGGAATTTTAGAAACACTTGAAAAAAATTGATTTTTGAAAAAAAATTTGCTTACAAAAAACCAAATTTTCATTAATTTTTTAGCCTTATTACCCCCCAGCTTACCCATGGGTTCCCTCAAAAATATCAACCCATTTTGTCCAAATATAGCTAACATATATACAAATATACATACAATCAAATATAAATCTATGAGCAAAGAACTTTTTTATATTAACTAGCTGAAGTGCCCGGCGTTGTCCGTGGAATTTTTAAGAAAATAATTTGATTTTAGAAAATATTTTGTTTGATTTAAAAAAAATGTCGAAATTTTTTTAGCCAATGTTACTCCCGGGGGTTCCCACAAAAAATCCAAAAATATCATCAAAGTTTGTAATGTCACAGTTTTAAAAATCTCAGTTTAGGTTAAACTTACTGCCTTCGGGACACATCCCTTTCCAGGTAAAACTTACTCCTTTAAAGGTAAAACTTACTCATTTAAAGGTAAAACTTACTCATTTAAAGGCAAAACTTAGTCCTTTAAAGGTAAAACTTACTCCTTTAAAGGTAAAACTTACTTCTTTAAAGGTAAAACTTACTTTTTAATGGTAAAACTTACTCCTTTAAAGGTAAAACTTACTCCTTTAAAGGTAAAACTTACTCATTTAAAGGCAAAACTTACTCCTTTAAAGGTAAAACTTACTTTTTTAATGGTAAAACTTACTCCTTTAAAGATAACACTTACTATCAATCCATTTGACATCCTCTCCTGCGCATCGCCTGACGTGGAACAAACTGCCGATATGCTTCTTATACCTCTCAATAGGGGTGAACCCCACCTAACAACAGTAAGAGAGTTAACAACTAATCTATTAAATTAAGTTGCTGACTATTAGACTTAAATTCGTAGGTTTGCCTTTCTAAATTTGGGATTGAATAAATTTGGTCCTCTGAACTTGGGTTTCTTGGGTGTAGATGTTCCCTCGTCATTTCCGAGTTCCTAAGATCTGTTTCAGAAAGGAGGAAGGCAGGGGAGGAAGGCAGGCCACATCCTTGCTCAATTATTTTTTAAAGCCCCAAGCAAAATAATACGAAAAAAATTACTTTTTAAAGCCACAATTGTCAAGGAAGATAATTTAGATGTAGATCGGACAGCAAAATGGACTTGGATATACATAGAAATGACGTGGCTCAGATACAGAAATGATGTGGCTCAGATACAGAAAGGATGTGGCTCACCCTCCTCCCATTGTATAGTTCAATGTGGAGGGCAAGATGGAAACTATCAACAATATGTTTTATAAGCCAATACAGAATAAAACAAGACCTTGATGAGTGTGTTCATTGGGTTTAATGGGAGCAGGATTTAATTCTAAAATTCTAATTTTGTTTATTTCTAATTTAAAAGAAAGTTGTTCTTTCTTTTCAGCCGAATAGAAGCCTGTAAATATTATTGTTATTCTTCATGAAAAATGATATTTTAAAAAAAGGATTTTTATTAAGAAAACGTTGTAAAGGGTTACTTTGTAAATCAAGCAAACAGCTCATTGTCACTTGAAATTATGCCTACAGCACCAAATAGATTTTGAACTAACCTTACATACTGCACATCTGAATTCCTGCCAGAACTGTGGGGCCCCGTTGAATGGATTGAAACCAGTCTGCAACATTTATATAAAAATTTGTTGCTGAAAATCCGCAATTTCTCTGCTCTCTGGATCTGATTCATTTTTCCAGCGATATAGAGCTTACTAAACCAAAGGATCGCTGCCTTTTCAGCTCTGTATAGTCGGATTAAAAATTTTACTTATTAGCTCCCTGGATCAGGATCCGGAACTGATAATTGTAGCTCAATAGATCCGGATCAAGAACTGATAATTGTAGCTCAATAGATCCGGATCCAACACTGATAGTTGTAGCTCAATAGAACCGGACGCAGAACGGAGAATTGTAGCTCAATAGATCTGGATCTAGAACTGATAATTGTAGCTCAATAGATCCGGATCAAGAACTGATAATTGTAGCTCAATAGATCCGGATCTAACACTGATAGTTGTAGCTCAATAGAACCGGACGCAGAACTGAGAATTGTAGCTCAATAGATCTGGATCAAGAACTGATAATTGTAGCTCAATAGGTCCGGATCCAGACCAACAACTCAATTTATCCTCCTCATATTTAAAACTCCTGAGATGGAATTTAAAGAATTTGAGTCGCGGTTTAAATCTGCCAAAACCCGGTTTAAATTAAGCGCCGGCTTAAATCTTGAAATATTTGATACAATTTTAAGTGGAACCAACCACATTTAAGCCGCGGCTTAAATTTAAACCGCCGCTCAAATTCTTTAAATTCGGCCACTGATTAGATAAACCCGAGTTTTGTTTTCGTTAAATATTTAAACAAATTGTAAAATAAAAGTTTTTTTTCTAAAATAAAATTGAGAAATTCACATTTGTTCAATTACCTTCTGAATAACTTGCACATCTACTGGCTGGAACTGAACAGGCAAATTCTTCTCCACTCGGTCTACAGTCCATCTATGCTTTTCCCCTATAGTGCATAGTACAGAGCAGTAAAGAACAGTACAGAGCAGTAACAGGCAAATTCTTCTCCACTCGGTCTACAGTCCATCTATGCTTTTCCCCTATAGTGCATAGTACAGAGCAGTAAAGAACAGTACAGAGCAGTACAGAGCAGTACAGAGCAGTACAGAGCAGTATAGAGCAGTACAGAGCAGTACAGAGCAGTACAGAGCAGTACAGAGCAGTACAGAGCAGTACAGAGCAGTACAGAGCAGTACAGAGCAGTACAGAGCAGTACAGAGCAGTACAGAGCAGTACAGAGCAGTACAGAGCAGTACAGAGCAGTACAGAGCAGTACAGAGCAGTATAGAGCAGTACAGAGCAGTACAGTGTAGTACAATGTAGTACAGTGTAGTACAGTGTAGTACAGTGCAGTACAGTGCAGTACAGTGTAGTACAGTGCAGTACAGTGTAGTACAGTGCAGTACAGTGTAGTACAGTGCAGTACAGTGTAGTACAGTGCAGTACAGTGTAGTACAGTGCAGTACAGTGTAGTACAGTGCAGTACAGTGTAGTACAGTGCAGTACAGTGTAGTACAGTGCAGTACAGTGTAGTACAGTGCAGTACAGTGTAGTACAGTGCAGTACAGTGTAGTACAGTGCAGTACAGTGTAGTACAGTGCAGTACAGTGTAGTACAGTGCAGTACAGTGTAGTACAGTGCAGTACAGTGTAGTTCAGTGCAGTACAGTGTAGTTCAGTAAAGTACAGTTAAGTACTGTACAATAATTACAATAAAAGTTACCTCCATTACGATGAACACTAAATAATTTTCTTCAATTATGATAAATACAATATATTAGTTCTCCATTATGATGATTACAGTAAAAATTACCTCCATTTTGATAATCACAATAAAATTAGTCTTCCTTATTTTAAATACAAAAACGCATCTCCAGAATTATAAATGCTTTAAAGCCTACCTACATTATTATAATTTCTCTTTTTAGCCTACCTCCACAATTATAAATGCTATAAAGCCTACCTCCATTATTATAATTACTCTATTTAGCCTACCTCCATAATTATATATGCTATAAAGCCTACCTCAATTATTATAAATATTATATTTAACCTACCTCCATTATTATGAATATTAAGCCTACCTCCATTATCATAATTATTAAAAAACCTACCTCCATTATTATAAACAATATGAAGCCTACCTCCATTTTTATAAATACTAAAAAGTCTACCTCCATTATTATAAATACTATATTAAGCCTACCTCCATAATTATAAATGCTATAAAGCCTAGCTCTATTTTTATAATTAATATAAAGCCTACCTACATTATTAGAAATACTAAATTTAGCCTACCTCCATAATTATATATGCTATAAAGCCTACCTCCATTATTATAAATATTATATTTAACCTACCTTCATTATTATAAATGCTATTAATTCTACCTCCATTATTATGAATATTAAGCCTACCTCCATTATCATAATTATTATAAAACCTACCTCCATTATTATAAATAATATGAAGCCTACCTCCATTTTTATAAATACTAAAAAGTCTACCTCCATTATTTTAAATACTATAATAAAGCCTACCTCCATTATTAAAAATATAATAAAGCCTACCTATATTATTATAAATACTGTAAAGCCCACCTCCATTATTATAAATACTATAAAGCTTACCTCCATTATTATAAATGCTATAAAGCCTTTTTCCATGATTATAAATACTACAGCATTCCTCCATTATTATAAATGCTATAAAGCATACCTTTATTATTATAAATACTATATTTAACCTAATTCCATTTTTATAATTATTATAAAGCCTACCTCCATTATGGTTGTCCAACCATTCTTGTTCAGATAAATGAACATCGCACATCTCACAGCTGAAATAGTAAATATGGTATTTTTCTCCCTTGGTTTACTTCCCTTGGTTCACTTCCCTTGGTTCACTTCCCTTGGTTCACTTCCCTTGGTTCACTTCCCTTGGTTTACCTCCCTTGGTTTATCATGTTATTCTTATTTTATCCCTTGGTTCATCTAGTTATTCTTATTTTATCCCTTGGTTCACCTAGTTATTCTTATTTTATCCCTTGGTTCACATAGTTCTTATTTGGTTCACCTAGTTATTCTTATTTTATCCCTAGGTTCATCTAGTTATTCTTATTTTATCCCTAGGTTCACATAGTTATTCTTATTATATCCCTTGGTTCATCTAGTTCTTCTTATTTTATCCCAAAGTTCATCTAGTTATTCTTATTTTATCCCTAGGTTCATCTAGTTATTCTTATTTATCCCTTGTTTTAACTAGTTATTCTTATTTTATCAATTGGTTTATCTAGTCTGCATCTGTATCTGTATCTGTATCTCTATCTGTATCTGTATCTGTATCTGTATCTGTATCTGTATCTGCATCTGCATCTGCATCTGTATCTGTTATTCTTATTTTATCCCTTGGTTCACATAGTTATTCTTATTTTATCCCTTGGTTCACCTAGTTCTTCTTATTTTATCCCTTGGTTCACCTAGTTATTCTTATTTTATCCCTTGGTTCATCTAGTTATTCTTATTTTATCCCTTGGTTCACCTAGTTATTCTTATTTTATCTCTTGGTTCACCTAGTTTATCTTATTTTATCCAAGTGGACATTTTTTTAACAAAATATTGAAACAAACAATTCTTTTTTTTCATCACACATTTTAAGTGTCAACAAATGAAATTGCATCAAAACCCTCCTATTAATTGAATAGTAAATCAAGGTTATGAAACCATAATAGAGGAAACTTAAGAAAATTTGTTTTTGGTAACAGAAATTAGCCACAAAAAAAGCATGAAATATTTATGCACTGCATCCAATTTTTTAAGGACAAATTCATGATCCAAGTCACATCAAAATGAAATGGATCCTTAGCACTGCTGATATTAACCTTTTCTAAGGTCATGTGGGGTCCCAAAACATGCAGCCCAATCTGATCACCCAAGTTATACTATTTATAATCATAAATTGAAGAAAGAAGAGAGCGCCTATTATCATTAATAACAATTATAATCTGAACCTGTAATAAAATTGTAACTTTTTCTTGAATTATTTAAAATCAAAAATGGAAAACATACCACCCCCCCCCCAAAAAAAAAAACCTTTTGGCTTGCAAAAAAATCTTACCTGTATTGTCTGTGTGCGCCAATAATCCTCATTTTTTGCTTAGTAGCGCATTTGTCCATCATATCTGCAGCATTATCCCCCGCAACCTTAATTTAGATTCAATGTAAGGGACTGTAAGCATAATATGATCCTTCATGCAAAGATGACACCGCCAGATTTATTATGGTACCTTTGAAACCTTAATCTGATCAAAAATGTGGAAGATAAACTAACTTTTAGACTAGAAAAATATTTTGATAATTTTTCCATTGTTACTTAAAAGCAATAAATGTGCAAAGAAACCAAAAATGGCTTGATCAGACTAAGCTTTTAAGGGCACCGTTGTAGATCAGATATTTCCATCTTCAGACAGAAAGCCACTTAAAATTACCATCCCTTTAAGAAACAGATTGAGAAGGAAACTCAAAATTAAATTCCAAGGTCCTCAGCAAACTGAGCCAGTACTTAGCACCAAGTAGGTAATGTACAGTAAAGGCCCTCCCTACTCTCTAGGTCAAATGATGTATTGTTTTTTCCCATAAACTTTTTCCAAAGCCTCAACTTACCAATGGTATTTTCACAAGTGGCAATTTCCCAAGCGGCAACTTCCCAAGTCTTTCATAACGGTAGCACTAATCCCCCTATCCTGTTCTAGCTGCAGGAATTGGCCCCCTAGCCCATTCTAGCCTCAGAGCTTAGCCCCTATTTGGGAAGTTTCTGCTTGGTAAATTGCACATTTGGGAAGTTGCCATTTGCGAAATTGTCAAATAGGAATTTGCTTTAGGGAAAATGCCTTACACCAGTCAAACTCTCCCATCAGTACTTAAATCTACCAATATATACCTCATCACCACGTGGGGTTGACAATTTTTTGTGTAATGACGCCCTCTTAGACTGGTTTAGAAAGTATTTAACATGAATGCTAAGCAAGACATGCTGTAACAATTCTTACCTTGCATATGAGGCAGGTCACTGCTCCAGCTTTCTCGACACTGTTGGCAAGAGCTAAATGCTCCTCTGTCACACTGAGGTAAAGGATCAGAATTACAATAGGTATTGTTAGTTGTTTAGCAATTTCTTTCATCAGTATGTCCAGGAGGGATGGAGGGAGATTTAAACATGGACCAGACATTATGAATTCCAAGCACATGTAGTGAGCAACAAGTATTCCATGCCTTCAACTATTACAAGGAACCCCACATTAAGAGTTTTAAACGCAACTGTCAGGTCAGAAGAAAAATGTTTCAGATTTTCAAGAATGTTAAAGAGTAATTATTTCACTCAAACTACCCAGCCTGTGGTCATAAATAGATATTGTAGTGCTTATGCCTGCACCTCTCCCTTTATCTATGGAGATTACAAAATAGGCGGATATTTAAAAAGAAAACTGAAAATAAAGAGTGGAATTTTGGTTTGAAACACAAGACTTAGTCATCATAAAGTCAGGTAAATACCAGCTCATTCATGAGAACAAACACATAATTTTTTTTTTTCAATAAATGTCAAACATTTTAATAAGAAATAAACAGTTTTACAATCTTTATTTTTCCAAATAGCCATTCTAATTTTTTCTCTTTAGTGAAAGTATATGTAATGTTTAATGTAGATCTTTTATAAATTTTTTGGTCATTCTAGTCTGCATTAAAAAAACATAACATATTTCGTGCTTTCTTATATTTAAATGAAAAGAAACTAAACAACTATCACAACAATTATAAATGTCGAGTCTGTTTACCCTGAAGAAGTAGATTATGCTGAAACAAATGGGGAAACCTTTGCCTATGTAGGTAATAAAGCCAAGTTGTTAACAGGTATTTGCAGAAATTTAGCAAATGCACTAAAACAATAGAAATCACAAATCTATGTGTAACAGTTCATCCTTCTGTCTGTTGTGTTGAGTAGGGGAAACAATGGAGAAACTTTAATTAAACTTATAACTTGCCTAGGTATTTAACTAAATTTCTGCTTAAGGAAAAACAAGGAGCATAAAAATTCAACAAATACATGATTTTACGGCAAAGGTTTGAGTTGACATTCCTTAATTGATTGATTGATTGATTGATCAGTCTCAGGACAAGTCCGGGGTCTTAACCTCCAATTTGCTTGGATGGATAATGTAGACTTGTAGAGCCAAGGATAAGATGTTTCGACATCACACACGTAGAATGATAAAATGTAAACCAGAAAACCATTCTTTCGAGAATGAGGTATTAAAAAAATCAGAAGAGGAATGGATTTTGGTTAACAAAACAAATGCAAATTATCTAACGAAACCTAAGTTTTTAGATATGTTTTAACCAAGACTGCAATAATAGAAAAATAAAAATTCAAAGTGCAAAATCCAAGTCTCATCTTTGATCATTTTATCAAGTTCTACAACCATTCAGAACCAGAGGAAACTTCTCCACTCCTTTAAAACCTTTCTAACCGATTCTCTTTAGGTGGCTTATGTGGTAATTACAACTAAATTTTACATTCAAACTAAACTTTACCTTCAAATTTTAAAGAACTTTGAATCAAATGCACACGTCTGAATTAACTATATTTTTTGCCCCGTCTTTGAAGTTTTCAATGTTTGTTATCCCTATAAGGAAAATGAACTCAAATTACTTCCCAAAACTACCTGTGATAGAACTTAAGAATTGTTATGGACTGAAACCATGAGTTGCAAAGACCACAATGCCAGGGGTGAGTTTTGAACCTCCCCTTTACTCCATTCTCTGATAATGGTTCAGGAAGGAACTGAAATAAAACAGAAATAGTCCAACATTAAAAACAATATTTTGATATTAAGATCCCCACCCCACAATCCAAAATTAAATAAAGAAAGGAAAAAGTAACTTTAAACAAAATATGGAGAACAATCCGTTTTACCTGTTGTTCCTCTTGTCCTTCCTCATCATCACTGTCTGGCACAAACTGTCCCATTGCCCGCATGTGATCCCTTTGCTGTTTTAATCCAATTGCCCTAAATATAAGCAGTGAATATGGTACATATGAAAACATTACCCCAAATTACAAAAATCTGAATTTCAAAACACAACTCTTAGAACACCAAAATTGTCAAAAAAAACAAATTTTTTAAAACACAAAAAATTCATTAAAAGGTTAAAAAACTAAAAAACATTTGAACTTCAGTTTCATTTTTTAATATTAATAACACCTCATTTTTTACATTCATAAATTTAGAAGCATGAAATTGAACTCAAGTTATCAATTATTCGTTTCATCCTACTTTATTGCAGAATTTCAAAAAAGATTTGAATTATTTTACGAAATTACCAATGCGGATTTTTTAAATCATGTTGGCATATTCCAAAAAAATCTTAATAGACATATAATTTTGTAATCTCACAATTTGGTAACTAACAATTTAGTAACTAACAATTTGGTAACTTGACAATTTGGTAACTTGATAATTTGGTAACCTCACAATTTGGTAACTAACAATTTGGTAACTTGACAATTTCGTTAGGTTAGATTAAGACAATTTCTGGGCTGAGTGTTGTGGCGAGGACATAGTAAGGGGCCGAGCACTGCAACCATATTTATCAAAGCTAATGCAATGATATCCAATATGTAGGGTTAGGTTAGGTTAAGACAATATCTGGGCTGAGCGCTGCAGCTAATACAGGCTAGGTGGCCGAGCACTGCGACCTTATTAATCAAACTAATAAATTGATGGCTGAAATGTGGGGTTAGGTTAGGCTAAAACAATATCTGGGCTGAGTGTTGTGGTTAGGACTGGATAGGGGGCCAAGTTTACAAACAGTTTTTGCAGTTTTGTCATGCTAAACTTTTAAGAAATCCTGCATATTGTTTATTTCTCTTTATGTATTAAACAAATAAATATACAAACAATGATTGTGTAACATAAGTTTCAATTATACAAATTGTTAGTTACAATTTTTCAGTTACCAAATTGTCAGGTTACCAAATTATCAAGTTACCAAATTGATGGTTACCAAATTCTCAAGTTATCAAATATATCTGGTTACCAAATTATCAAGTTACCTAATTGTTGGTTACCAAATTTTCAAGTTATCAAATTGTTGGAATACAAAATTGTCAGGTTACCAAATTATCAGTTACAAAATTGTCAGTTACCAAAGTGTTAGTTACTAAATTATTAGTTAACAAAATCCGCCCATTTTTTTGTTATAATAATACTGAAACACCATGATCCCTATATTGTAGTTATTCCTGCATGGGTCTGACCTCCTGTGTTATTCACAATTTCATGGTTTGGACCAGAATGATAAAAAATGTCTTACCTCTGGTGGTTGGGACTTTCCAGATGCATATTGTAATCATATGTAGATGTAAGATTTATTTTGCATAGACGACAAGTAAACACCTCAACATTAGCCTGAAATGAAAGAAAATGAAAGAAAGATCATGGTAGATCCCCAATGTGGGATCCCCAGAGTGCCATCAGAAGTTAAGGGCAAAACCCATTTCATTATTATTATTATCAATACCAGACAACCCATCATTCAATGCTTGATGCTCCTCGACATTAAAATGTATCCAAGGACAAAATGGGCAACTTTGGCCTAGGCTCGTACACCAGTGAGATAACATTTATTTAATCCATAGTTTATTACCTCATTAATAGCATGTTCCTCAGAGTTGTTGTGTGCCTCAAAATCAGCTTCATTCTCTGTCTGGGTCTTGCATATTGTGCAATAGTACTCCTAGTACAGGGCTCAGATCAACAACTACGTTAGCTCGAGTTTAGAAAGATCAAAAAAAGTTCTCCAGAAAAAATTTAAAATCCTATTTCTCGAAAATAAAACCAATACAAAATTCATCTTCATTATATGCAATTTCTATGAATTTCCATATGTGAAAATCTACAGATTTTTAGTTTAATATTGTGAAATTTGAAAAAATTTTAAATCCCTAAAACGATGACTGCTTACCTTGAATGTCACATTGTCAGGGATTTTGTCCACAGATTTTCCTTGGTCTAAATTAAAAATGATCAACTTTATAAAATATAATGTCCCATTAAGACTTCAATTTCTGAATAATGTTTTTTTTTTGCTAACAAGTTAGAGTAGTCTGTACCTGAAAAATTTTGCTGGCATTCCATCAGCGCATTTGGTCCTAGTGGTCCTGGGGGCCCATTGCCCATTGAAGCCTCCCCTATTTCAGGAGGTCCCTCCCCAGGTGGTAGCTCGTTGCCTGTTGGACCCATTCCCATTCCAGGTCCTCCCATTCCATGAGGACCAGGACCCCATCCAGGTCCCATTATAGGTCCCCGAGGCCCTGGCATCATTCCTCCAGGACCCATCATACCTGGTCGCATTCCTGGTCTCATCATTCCAGGGCCCATCATCCCAGGGCCCATCATTCCAGGGCCCATCATCCCAGGACCCATCATCCCGGGACCCATCATGCCATGCCCCATCATCCCTGGACCCATCATACCTGGTCCCATCATACCAGGACCCATCATTCCAGGTCCCATCATACCAGGTCCCATCATCCCTGGACCCATCATCCCTGGACCCATCATACCAGGTCCACCCCAGGCTTGCGGGAGAGCTAAAAAGCCAACATTTCAAAGAGAAAAAAAAATAATTAAAAAATTGTCAAAAGATATAAATACCTTCTGCTATTACTGAATATTTTGGGGGTAAAGGAGGGGACGGATTGTGCGGATTCCAGTTATGTCCCTTGGCCTCTACTGCTTGTTTAGTTCGGAAATTTTCCAGATGACGAATTCCAGCCTTAAAAGAACCTAATTTGTTTTTCTCTAGTCATTCTGGTTTAAGTACATTTATCATGATCAGATACAACTCACTCTTAAACTCTATACTCTACATGAGAACTAATACTTTAGCCTGTATCAATCCAGATACAACTCTCTCTGTATTCTTAATTATGTATCAATCCAGATACAACTCTCTCTGTATTCTTAATTAGGTATCAATCCAGATACAACTATCTCTGTATTCTTAAATATGTATCAATCCAGATACAACTCTCTCTGTATTCTTAAGTATGTATCAATCCAGATACAACTTGCTCTCAAACTCTATACTCTACATGAGAACTAATACTTTAGCCTGTATCAATCCAGATACAACTCTCTCTGTATTCTTAAGTATGTATCAATCCAGATACAACTAGCTCAATAACTCTATACTCTCTACACAAGATCTAATATGTCTGACCATGATAAAACAGAGTTCATATCCAACTGATCTATACTTTGCGTTTAATGTTACAGATAAAAATGTAATTGACCAATAGGTCTTTTCAAAGATTAACAGACATAGTTTTACATATACAAGATATGTTAATTAGGGGTATTACTATATATACAGGTAGGTTCAGGTTTCCATGATATGGGGTTTATTACCATGTTTATTACATATTCTTAGTTTCATTTAGTCTAAAAGTTTATTAGTTACAATGTGAGTAAGAGAGAAAAAAAAACTTACGTTATGTGTTTTTAGCTCTGTTTCTGTTTTAGTTCTGAAGTTGCAAATAGTACAATGATGAGGGCCCTCGGAGATATAGGTCATCTCAGCATTTGCAGGCAACACATTCAGTCCTTAAATAAAAAGCTTTTATTCAAAGGTTCCTTTTCCACGTGATATTTTCTTTTGTGGCGATTTCAAATATCATTTTGGATAAAGTCTCGTTACAAAGTTTGGCAAATCAAACCAGGAAAAATGGGTAGTATAGACTTAAAAAGTAAATGGCTAAGACTGGATTAAATAAGAGCGCATCATTGCACACCAACCTATATTTACAAATTAACATATACAAAGGATGAAAAATATGAATTAGGACTGAAAAAGCTTTTTAGCACAGCATTTGCCTCCAATGGCGAATGTATTTTCCATTGAATCTATCTTGTTTGTTGGACTGATCTTATCCCCCTTCCATTTTAGCGAATTCCTTTCCGTCCCGGTGTGGAAACTGTTTTTATATTCTCCGGTACCTCGGCATCTGCCTAGCTCTGCCTTATCTGGATTCCCTAGCTTTCCAAACATGATAAATGGCACTAATTACAGTATTTGTTTTGGTTTACAGTAGGTTCACAATAATCTACATTATCTAAAAAGCTAGAAATCAAACGTGTGTCAATATCCTTGCATAAGAGCCATTAATCAAACCTTTAAGGAAATATAAATTCCTCTAAATATTAAATTTTTAAATCCTTCAATAATTGTAAGATTTGATTAACAAGTTAACTAAGTTAGATAATTCTATTATTTAAGATTTAAACTCTTCTTTACCTGCTGCTTCTCTGTGAAGTTTGCTGTTGAAATGAATCTTGGCAATTCTTATTGATTCAATGGGAACATCACAGAGATTACAGTGCTTTCTTTCACGTAACCAAACCTGTAAAATCCGAGGTCAGTTGGTCAAGAACAGCTTAACACTTTTTAAAAGTTATGCCTGGGAAGATTTCATATATTCCTCAGAAATACATTTAAATCCCTAAGTTTACCCTGTCTTTGTTTATTTGATTGATGTGACTTAGCACTACCAAAACCAAAAAATTTAGCTTGTGTTATTGGAACTAATTGAGCAAAAAGTTCAGTGCCTTATTTTCTTTGGTTGTCCTATGGCTAGTGTCCTTTTGAATTGTAAACATATAAGGCGGCAAGCATAATATGTTATATGGCTTATGGCTTGCATCTAAAATTTTAAAAGTCTAATCAATTAATAGCAATGCTAACCTCTGGTAGATTGTAAGGGTTGATATCCTCGTCAAGTTTAGGATCTCCCGCCAGCATAACTTCCATTCCTTTCACCATCATCCTGTGCCTCTCTCCACTAAATAGAAATAATATAACCTCCAAAAAGCATGGATAAAGGAAAGCATTAGGTCTGGCATGCACTTAATCCATGAACAAAGTACACATTAACATTTCCTCAATTCAATTCAATTCATGAAGCAAGGAAGGTGTCCACTCTCTCTCAACTAATTAGATATACAATTTTTTAAAAGCATCAGGTCTGGCGTGCACTTGATCCAGGTACAAATGCACTAGTCAACATATGCATTCATCTCTGACTCCTGAGGCCCGCATCTTATCCTCACTGATGAGTTCTTAAAAAGGCAGTGTCACAGATGGGATTCCATCTAATAGACAGATATAACAACTTAGAATATTCCAGAGACAATAATTTAACTACTGATGTACCTGAGATGCTGAAGCATCTGTTTCTCACTGGAGCAGTTGGATTCACAAAGCTCACAGTAGAACTCAGAGTGCGGAGGAGGGGCAGGGGGAGCAGTTCCTGTGCCATAACAATATTCTCACTACATTAGTGAAGGAATGATCAATTTTTACAATTCAACTCCCCTGTTCAGATCAGGATTAGATTTGGATATTAAAACAACATTAAGAAGATGCGATTTTCTTACCAGTTGAAATTAAATATATATTATAAAGTAACAAAAGTTTTTATGAAAACTTTTATCAATAAAATTTATACTACTGAATATCCTTCATTAAAAGTATTTCAGGGCATTTCGTACACCTCATCTCCCCTCCTTTTTTACAAATTAAATTCACCAGGGATATCTAATTCCTTGGACAAATTATTTCGCACACCTCATCTCATCTCTTTTTTACAAATTAAATTCACCAGGGATATCTAATTCCTTGGACAAATTATTTCTTCCATTCAAGGATAATTGGGTTGATGGCATGTAGGGCCACCATCAACCTAGCAAAATGGTTTTGTTATATTTTCCTCTATAATATCTATCCTAAAGGTTAATGGTAACACATTTGTTATGGGTCACTAGCTACAGTCAGGGTCCATATATTTCCATTTCTCATACCAAATGTGATCGGAGATGAAAGTACATGTAGGGGCATGATCTGTGTCATTGTGTACTTCGGCAAGTTGTTTGTGTATGTGTACTTCACATCAGAAAATGTGTACTGCATTTGGGGTGCCAAGAGATGTAAAAATCAGTAATAAATGTAAGAGATAAATTATGATATACAAAAAATAAACATTCCCTTCCAGTATACATTCTGCAATATGGAATTTTTTCTACAAGTTGACATAATACTTCCAATTATTTACAATAACAACATGGCCAATTTATGCCTCTTATATCAATCAATCAACATTTGGGATCGTATTGATGGAATTATATGGACCCCTGGCTACAGCATGAGAAGACGAAGATTTGACGTTATGAAATACCAAACTGGGAGTAATGACGTCTAAAGTGATAGCAGCTACATCCGAGCACTTTAAAAAAGACGCCCCTTAGAATTTTTGAGACTTCAACTTCACCTCTTTTAGACATAAAACTTTACCTAAGCAACCTATCAGGATCTATTGGTATGCTCATATCATTTGGATCTTCAGGTTCGGGTTCAGTTTCAACCTTCTCCGGGTCCTTAGGTTCAGGCAGTTCATCCTCCCACCTAGCGAACAAGAAAGCAATCAAACCAATCCTGGTTTAGCGGGTACTTAAAACTACTTAGTAAGTTTGTATGAAATATCTCATGTGGTATTATTAATATTTAGAAAAATCAGGAAAATTTTTTATGCTAACTAATTTTACTACTGACTTTTTAAGGGAGGGGGGGCGGTATTTAAAAAAAACCCTCCTAAAAAGCTAGATTAGTTTCCAATGTTACATGAGTAGCAAAGATGAAGTTATTTCTTTTACTAAATAAAAAAATCTGTTCATTTCCTTTCTTTTCTGTTTTGAATAAATTAGCACTGAACTTTGAAAATAAACCATAATGGATAACAAATTACTTAAAAATAAACCAAAATGGATAAAAAATTACTTATATATAAACCACAATGGATAACAAATTACTTAAAAATAAACCACCAAATTACTTAAAAATAAACCACAATGGATAACAAATTACTTAAAAATAAACCACAATGGACATCAAATTACTTAAAAATAAACCACAATGGATAACAAATTACTTAAAAATAACCCACAACGGATATCAAATTACTTAAAAATAAACCACAATGGATATCAAATTACTTAAAAATAATCCACAACGGATATCAAATTACTTAAAAATAAACCACAATGGATATCAAATTACTTAAAAATAAACCACAATGGATATAAAATTACTTAAAAATGAACAACAATGGATTTAAAATTACTTAAAAATGAACAACAATGGATTTAAAATTACTTAGAGAAACAAAAGACAAAGGTTTAAGGAGTCAAAGAGACTGAAACTTGCAATTCTTTCAATGGAAACTGTTTGATTAAACCAAATTGATTAATCGAATCAGATTGATTGGTTGAACTTGATTGATTCGCCAGATTGATTGATTGAACCAAATTAATTGATTGAACCAGATTGATTCGTTGAACCAGATTGATTCATTGAACCACATTGATTGATTGAACCAGATTGATTGATTGAACCAGATTGATTGGTTGAACCAGATTGATTGATTAACCCAGATTAATTAATTACCAGTAAATTGCATTGATTTCAGAAAGTTTATCAATCAATTAAATGATTAATTAAACAAAGTCGATTGATTGACTGATTGAACAAGAAATATTTATTTATTATTATACAAGTTGATTGATTGATCAATAAAACATGGTAACTTGAACGATTGATTTAACAAAGTTGATTGATTGATTAATAAAACATGGTAACTTGAACGATTGATTTAACAAAGTTGATTGTTTGGTTTGAAACGGTTGTTTTTACTTCCTAGATTGATTAAACCAGGTTAATTAACTGGTTGATTGGTGGATGATGGATGACTGATTATTTGATTATCTGATGAATTGATTAATTAATTGATGATTAACCAATTAAATATTTACCTGGATTTACCCATGAGCACTCGACGCATTGTCTCCGGATCCATAGAGTTCAGAAGCCTAGGGTCTATCACACCGGGAACCTGACTCTTAAAGGGAATGTTAACGAATTTAATCAAATTAAAAGTAGTTTTCGCAAAAAAATCTATGTTTTTATGGAAATTCAAATGAATTAAAAATTTGCGGGAAAAAATATTGAGGAAACAATGTTGAAAAAGTAGATTCTCAATTATTATCAATATTTATCAAAACAATTTTTTTTCATGAAATTCTCATGCTTTGTAGTTGAATAAATATATGAATAAGAATGCATCGAATTTTTGCAATATTTTGGAATATTGTTTTAATTTTCTTAATACTCACATGGTAACACAAAACAAAATTGCGAACCTTCTTCTCAAAATCAAAAGTAAAGAAAAGAAAAAATGTGTTAATGTTTAATTTCTATCTAATCCTAAAATTTCATAAAAATCAGACTCATGGAAATGAAGTAAATTTGCAAAATTGTTTCAGGAAAATTCGCAATTTAGTTCAAATGTACCTGTCTAAGCAAAGCTATCAATAATAAATCTAAGAATTAGAGCGGTAAAAATTTCACCAAAAGAATAGAGGACATTTTTATTAATGTGCAAATGTTAACTGTGTCATTTTTATGTTTATTCCAATTGGATTGCAAATATACGTTGATACGTTTGATACGTTGATACGTTGATAGTTTCTCCGCCAAGGTCCTGCATCATGCAAGAATGAAGTGGCGGGTCAGGTCATCATTTATTATTCTGGATCCATGGCTGCATTTCTATGCTCATCATAACTGTTTTTAAAAGCATATAGGGTCATAGACCCCTTTACTGCCTATTAAAACACTTTTGTTATTCTTCACTTTCAATTTTGATGGGAAAAAGTTTCGCGGATTTTTTGGTACCATGTGAGTTTTAAACAAATGAAGACAATACACCAAAATATTGCAAAAATACCAAAAATAAAAATTTTATGAAAAAAAATTAGCTATGAAGAAGACGACGCTAATGACACTTTTTTTTGACTCACTCTGTATGTATTTATAATATTTGAGCAAAGAGCTTTATTACATAGAAATGCATTAAATCTGCCTTATTCTGCTATCAGAAGATAAACAAGAAACTTTCAATGCAGATTTATTGTGATTACCATTGTAACTCCTACTACACCCCTTCTGGCCTTAAAGGGGTTTTTGACAACAAAAATAAAGTAAAATTTTTCAAAAATAGATTATCTCTTAAACAATAGAAAGTTATTAAAAACGTTTGTCCTTAGCTGGAATAAATTTGAAGAAAAAGTGGGATATTGAATTTAACTCATTCCAACAGATTAAAATTAGTTTCTTACATTCAAAAGTTATCAGCTCAAAACTTTTGAAAAAGTTAAAGATGAACAGATAAAAAAGGACCTTATTCTTTATTTCTCGCCGTGTAGGTTCTGAATGTTCTGTTGGAATTGCATAAAGATCCGAGTACTCAGATTCATCCGCCCCGTTCCCACCTCCCTCAGTATACTCCTCTCCGCCCTCCGCCTCGTATTCTTGGTTCCGCCGTGAATTATTTTCTTCTCGCTCCCGCCTTCTCCGCCTTTAACAAATCGGAATTACATCCTCCATTCACATGAGTATCAACCGCAAATAAAAATCATCCATATCAGAATTTCCGAAGACGGGCTTATAATTACTAATACAGCTCTAGAGACGCCCCCCCAAACCAACAAAAAAGTTATTGTACTCACACTTCCTGGTTAGGTTAAATTAAGATATTTTGATTAAGTAACTGGGGTTCCGGTTTTAAAACAAGAAGGGAATAATTCAGTGCTTAGGATCAAGATCCGGATTTGATGGATCCGCAAGATTTTGGCCCTCCTGCATCCGGATCCGCAAAAATATGCGGATCCACTGATCCGGATCCAAGGGGCAAAATATCAACCAAAAACTGCAAAAAAAAACTCCAAATCTGAACTGTTGAAAAAAAAGAGATTATACATATTTCCTGATTTCTGAATGGTTCATCAAGTTTTAGCATAACATAAAATAAGCAAATAAAATAAAACAAAAATTTGAATATTTTCCTTTAAAATGAAATGGATCCTAAGCACTGGTTGGGAAGTTACCGAATTTTCACAAGCACGTTTTTCTTTCATCATTTAATGTTATAAATCGAAATGTCATTCACATAAACTAATATAAAGTTGTTAATCTTACATTTTCTAACAAAATATAGATTTCAATAATAATAATAAAAAATTTTCTTTTATCTTGAAGTCTTTCTATTTGTTTTATCTAAAAATATTAGTGTCCACTGTGTCCTTTACTCGTTGTAAATTAAAAAATCCTTTTTTTATTTTTGCCAGCATTTTCTTTGTGAAATGATTTCATGGACTTTGACTACAGATTAACTTTATAAAGAACGGTCAACGTGGAATCAAGTTCGCCTTTACTTTAAGAAATCTAAACATACACGTTTGCTTGTCTGTTTGTATCCACTAAACGTCAACACGTCCTGACCGATCTGGCCCAAGTTTTTTGTGGGACCTCGCAAAACCCCAGGGAAGGTTTATGGATGCTCTGAATTACAAAAAGTTGTATCCAAAAATTTCTGATTATCATAAAAGTTTGAAAATCAACGAACGAAAAAAATAGTCAATCCGAAAAAATTATTATTGTTGTGTCGATGAAAAAATGCTGAAATATTGAACATTAACAACAATTAAAAGTTTGGAATAGAAGATAGCTTAGTAATACATATTTGTCAAACCTTCGTTCTGCAGAACCAGAAGAACTTCGATCTCTTTTCTTTTCCTTCTTCTTCTTTTTATCTCTGCTTCTGCTTCTGTCCCTGTTCCTGCTCCTAGTGATGTAGATTAAAGGGACTGTAAGCATAATTTTTAATGGCCCTCCAAGCAAAGATGACAATGCACGATTTCCAACAATATCCTTAAAACCTTAATCTGATCAAAATGTGGGAAAAGTGGTCATTTTTCAGACCAGGGTTGATTTCTTTGAGTTTCTCTACGTTGCTTTTTTTAAACAAAAATAATTATCAATTCACTCTTGCAAACCTCAAATGAAAATGGACAGTTTAAAGAAACAAAAATATTGATATCTAATTCCCACTTGATCAGAAAAAGCTTTGAAGGGTACCGTTGTAAATCGGGCATTACCATCTTTGCATGAAGGATCACTTGAAATTAAGCTTACAGCTATTTAATAGATTTTTTCTAACATTTTAAAATAAAAACCAGCATTAAAAAAAATTCAACTCCAAAAATAAATTATTTCCAAAATAGCAAAATGTTTAAAATCATCCGAACGGCCCTAAATTCTACATTATTCTCATCATAAAATCTCCGAATCATAAAATGATTAAAATATTGGATTGAAATGACTGTGTCCCTGTGTTATTCAGAATTTATATATTATATATTATATTTATATATATATATATATATATATATCCTGTAAGACTAATCTTTGTATGCCTTTTTTTCTTTCAGGGTCAAATATGGTGTAAGAAATTACAAATGTTTTCAAAATGGTTTATTCTAAACATGTGCTTTCATTATACTTTGCCCATTGCCCAATTTAGACCCGCACAGAAAATAATATACAAACAAACCAGAAAAGATATTTTTATTATCATTTATCCATGGTTGTCCATTTTTTCAGGATAAAAATATTGCAAAGTTTAATAAAACCAACTCTAACAGAATAAAGTTTAGAAGCTTGATTTAAAAAAAATAAAGAACAATACCTGCTTCTACTCCTCTTCCTACTCCTACTCCTACTTCGGTTTTTCTTCTTCTTTTTACTAGACCGTCTAAACAGTGGGAATTTATTTAAGTATATTTACAAACCAGTGGTATATCATGCAGTGGTAGGCGATTATATCAATATAATGAAGACGACTTTCGATTTCGACTTTTGATTTATATCCAGCCTTTAAAAGCATGAATAAAAAAACATGGAAACAAAGAGAAGCTGTCAATTAAAAATCTTCTCCTTAATTACTTGTAAACTTGTAATTCGAAAAAAGCTTGTTAACAATTAAAAATTAAATAAAATGTCGTCTTCATTGTATCACCTACAACTGTACATATTTTCTTCAACAATCACTGAAGGAAAACGTAAGGAATGTTTACACAGAACGTAAATAAAATAAGATTTTTCGCTAAATTTGTATGTAATGCGCCGGTCCGTAGTGAAAACACAAACTTTAACATTGAAATTCTTTTTTTTAATAAAAATTATTCAAATTCTAAATAACGTAAAAAACTGATTCCTTAGTCTCCGTTCTATGCAGATTGTAAAAACAAGTCATTTATCACTAAACTTTTTAATAAAACGTTGAGTAAATAAGCCACAGATAGAACCCGACCACATTGAAATATGATGGTGTTTTGCAAGAAAAAGCAGAGAGTTCCAAAAAGGCCCCTAACTTCACAAGAATTTGGAAAATCCGCCAATTTAAACTGTGAAATCTACGAAATGTTACTGTCTTCGTTTTAAGTGTATAATTGAAATATCATACTTTTCTCCGCTGCTCACACTGTCGCTTCTCTTCTTACTCTTTTTCAATGCACGTTCTTCCCAAGTTTCCCCCTCTTCCTTCTCCACCTCCCCTTCCTCTTCTTTCTTCATTCTTCTCTCTTCCTCTTTCTTCTTCTTTTCTTCTTCTTTTGCTTCTTTCTCCTTCCGCTTTGCCCGTTCCTCCCATGTTTCTATCAGAGCATCTTCTTCCTTTTGTTTCTTTTTTTCTAGTTCCTGGTTCAAGGGTATTTTTATCAAGGTCTGAACGTTGGCTGTCAAACACGGCCAAAAAAAAGGTTAGAACACGTGTCTACTTATAAAATAGAATAATTATTATATCAAATTCAATATAAAAAAATAGAAGTTAAATAAATTTGTAAAAAATGTAAAAATGTTGGATATTTAAAATTTTTGATTTTAGGAGAAAAGCAAGGTTGAGCAAGGTGTAGAATGCGGGATGGAAATGGAACGAAAAGAATAAAAGAGAAGTAGGTAAGGTAAAGGGAGGGGGTGAGAAGAGCAGGGAGGGGGAAGAACTGTGAGGGGGAATTGTAGGAGGGGGGAGGGGTAATTTAGGAGAGGGGAATGGAGTGCAAGAGGTGATGAGGAATCGCAACAGGTGGTGGGGATAGTGCTGGGGGAGGTGGATAACTGATTATTAACAAAATAAACCCATTCCTTCATTTTTTCTTCAAGCTCCCGCTCATACTTCTCTCTATAGCTCTCTTTCTTCTCACTCCGACGATCTTGATTATCCCGATCCCGACTTGCACGATCACGATCTCGATGTCGACTACTTCGATCATCACGATCTCGACTATGACGGCTGTCACGATCGCGACTGGTTCGATCACGACTGAATCGATCTCGGTCACGACTATGACGATCCCGGTCATGGCTGTAACGATCCCGGTCATGGCTGTAACGATCCCTGTCACGACTGTTACGATCACGGCTTCTACGGTCACGCTCTCGGCTTTCCCGTTCCGCTTCCCGTTCAGCTTTCCTTTTTGCCTCTCTTTCTAATTCTAAAAATATATAATACTTAATCAAAATCTTAATGTTAATTTATTCCAGTTAAAAGAGTAGTTTTAAAAATTTATATTTTAAATATTCGAAAAGTAAAGAAATTGAATAATGATTTTAAAATTATTGAAATCAATTTCCTTAATTTATGGATTCTGTATCGTGTAGTACAGAAATTTAGCAATTAATTTATCCATTAATTAATTTTTCAAACGATCAATTTATTAATCAATCAATCAATCATTTTATCACTCAACCAATCTATCAATCAATCACACTTTTCACACTTTCCATCAATCACCCATTTAATCAATCAAACAACCAATTATTCAACCAATTATTCAACCAACCAATCAACCAATCAATTAACCAACCAATTAACAACCAATCGACCAACCAATCGACCAACCAATCGACCAACCAATCAACCAACCAATCAACCAACCAATCAACCATCCAACCAATCAACCAATCAATCAATTAATCTATTAATAAATCAACCAACCAATCAACCAACCAACAAATCATCCAACCAATCAACCAACCAATCAACCAACCAATCAATCAATCAATAAATCAATCAATCAATCAGTCAGTCAGTTAATCAATCACCTGCTTCGCCCTTCTTAAGGAATATTGCTTCCCTCGCCTTCTTGGCCAGCAGAAATATATCCTTAACATATTTTATTTTATTCACAATTTTGTTTTTTTCCATTTCTCAGTTTTCAGGTTAGGTTCTCTTTTTCTAATCTTATATCAAATCAAATCAAATCAATGTTAGTCTGTTAATTCATTATTTTTTAGTGTTTTTTTTGTCCATTGATTCATTTTAATTCCTTTGGTCATTTGTTCATTTATGTGTATTTTCCCTATTGCTCATTTGATCATTTGATCATTTGTTCATTGGATCATTTGGTCATTTGATCATTTGATCATTTGTTCATTTGTTCATTTGTTCATTTGTCCATTTTTTCATTCGTTCATTCGTTCATTCGTTCATTTGTTCATTTGTTCATTTGTTCATTTATTCATTTATTCATTTGTTTATTTGTACATTTGTTCATTTGTTCATTTGTTCAATCGTTCAATCCTTGTTATATAGAATTCATTAATGTGTTTTTAACCCTTGTAAATGTATAATTATGTACCTAATAAAATATTTATTTATTTATTTATTTATTTTATTTTTGTTCATTTGTGCATTTGTTAATTTGTTAATTTGTTAATTTGTTCATTTTTTCATTTGATAATTTTACTTTATTNTTTGTTCATTTGTTCATTTGTTCATTTGTTCATTTGTTCATTTGTTCATTTGTTCATTTGTTCATTTGTTCATTTGTTCATTTGTTCATTTGTTCATTTGTTCATTTGTTCATTTGTTCAATCGTTCAATCCTTATTTGTTCATTTGTTCATTTGTGTATTTGTTTATTTTCATTTTTATTTCATTCGTTCATTTGTTCATTCCTTCATTTGTGTAATCGTTCATTTGTTCATTTGTTCATTTGTGTATTTGTTTATTTTTTTCATTCGTTCATTTGTTCATTCCTTCATTTGTTAATCGTTCATTTGTTCATTTGTTCATTCGTTCAATTGTTCACTCGTTTATTTATTTGTTTATTCAGTTTTGTATAAAGAAGAACTGTCGACGCAGCTTGAACTAACCCTCCTTTGAAGGTAAAACTCTGTAAAAATAAGGGAAATTATTGAGTTTTCTTTTACAAGAAATGTTAGATTCTGTCTATTTTCTGTTGGATAAATGCGTAAGTCACTGAAAACAGAAGCACTATTGAAAATGATCAATTTAAAGAAAGAAAACCATTTTGGCTCAGGATTAAAAGGTACCGTTGTGAATTAGAAATGACACTATAAATAAAGGGTCACTTGAAATTAAGTCAACAGTCCCTTTAATATTTACCGAAATGGCGTCTGCCTCAGTTTTTATTCCCGCCGCTCTCTTTGCAGCATCTTCCGCCTTCTTCTTTTCTTCCGCCAGCTTCCGGTCTTCTTCCAGTAGCCTTAGTACAGGGGGTAGATATTTTCTAAGTCATCCAACTCAGGGGAATTGCCATGGATTATACCCCCCCCCCCCATTGCCATGAATTCCCCCCACACACACTTTTTTATACGTTTTATCCAAAAAAATCAAAAAATTTCCCCAATTCGACGGAAAAGAGGCAGAGGGGGTGATTCTTCAAGAAAATATATATTCTTGCCTAAGCGCTTCTCTTTCCGCTTCTTTTTGTTTCTCCTCTTCTCTTCTCCTCTCCTTCTCCTTCTCTCTCTCCTCATCCTTCTCCTTCTGACGTTGGTCTTCTTTCTCCTTCCTTAAACGTTTCTCCTCTCTTTCTTCATCTTTTTCTTTCTCTCTTTCTCGTCTTTTCTTGTCCCTTCTCTCCTAGTAGATAAAAAAAATGAAAACAATAAACCATAAAAAAAAAACAATTAACTAGTGGTAATTTTTCAAATTGTATTTATAAACAATTTAAATTCTATTTCCACTAACAAAAATAAGAAAATATATCACAAATATATCAGCAAAAAAAACCTAAGACGATGGGCGAGAATCGCTCTGTAAACCTAGTATATATATATATATATTTAGTATTCCTCAGCATACCTTATCAGAATCATCAGAATCCTCCTTATCTATCTCAAACTTTTCCTGCACAAAATTAAAATAGATTAAACAAGTTTAATGTCACAAAGAATGAAACAATTTGCTGTCACAATTTTTTCAAAAAATATGNAGTTCATTAATTAGTGATAGAAATACTGTAGTACACAGTTCATTAATTAGTGATAGAAATACTGTAGTACACAGTTCATTAATTAGTGATAGAAATACTGTAGTACACAGTTCATTAATTAGTGATAGAAATACTGTAGTACACAGTTCATTAATTAGTGATAGAAATACTGTAGTACACAGTTCATTAATTAGTGATAGAAATACTGTAGTACACAGTTCATTAATTAGTGATAGAAATACTGTAGTACACAGTTCATTAATTAGTGATAGAAATACTGTAGTACACAGTTCATTAATTAGTGATAGAAATACTGTAGTACACAGTTCATTAATTAGTGATAGAAATACTGTAGTACACAGTTCATTAATTAGTGATAGAAATACTGTAGTACACAGTTCATTAATTAGTGATAGAAATACTGTAGTACACAGTTCATTAATTAGTGATAGAAATACTGTAGTACACAGTTCATTAATTAGTGATAGAAATACTGTAGTACACAGTTCATTAATTAGTGGTAGAAATACTGTAGTACACAGTTCATTAATTAGTGATCGAAATACTACCGTACACAGTATAATAATTAGTGGTAGAAATACTGCCGTACACAGTATAATTATTATTGCTAGAAATACTGCCCTACAAAGGATAATAATTATTGCTAGAAATACTGCCCTACAAAGGATAATAATTATTGCTAGAAATACTGCCCTACAAAGGATAATAATTATTGCTAGAAATACTGCCCTACACAGTATAATTATTATTGCTAGAATTACTGTATTTCACAGTATAATAATTAGTGGTAGAAATACTGCTAGAAATGCTAAAGTACACAGTATAATTATTATTGCTAGAAATACTGCCCTACCAAATATAATAATTGTGAAAATAAATCAATTTGAAATGAATTACTCTTGAAGAGGTTAATTAAAGGAAATTTTCAAACAGAAAACAAGGATATCTGAATAATATGAGCTCAGAAGGTTTACACGTTAAGANGATGTCTCTAGTAGGGGGGGGTGCAACCACAACAATTTGCAATCCCAATACACAAATCTGCTTCGCGGCAAGTGCGTTTAACAATCTGCTGTGGTTGCATTCCCCCCTTTGTCTTACCGATCCTTCTTGAGCCCGTTCCCATTTTTTTATCTGAAAATGGTAAAAAATGAAATATATTAGGGCCTTTACAGAGAAAAAAATATTTTCACTTTTTTACATTTTTTGTTTGACAGACATTTTTATTTAGCCTTAGAAGAAAAGGTGTTTGTTTGAATTCGTTTCTTAACATTTCTTCCTTGACATTTGTCTGTTTACATTATTTGTTAACATTTGTTTGTTTACATATGTTTGTTTACATTTGTTTGTCTGCTTGGTGGTAGAGTTCTGCCATTTGGCGATAAACGTAGCTCGGGCTATATCCTGGAGTACACAAACAGAATAAGATTTAGTATTTAGTTACAGGTGTATGTAATCTCAGCAAATCATCACCCAACCCCTTTTAAAACTTATTTATTCCCCAGTCGTAATGTATGTTTTTTCTCAGGGTATTATTGGCTGAATTGGGGCAAATAAATGAACTTTTGTGTAAAAAGTATCAAAAATAAACGTAAAACCTTGCTATGTACAATTTTTCTTGATTTCACCAGATCAACAAAACTATTTTTTTCTTAATTTCTTTTTCAAAAATTCTAAAAAATATACCTCCTTGTTTAAAAAATTTAATAGAGATATTTGGAAAGAAGATAGAAATTCAGACGGATAAGACAGATAGACGGATAGACAAATAGCTGGATAAATGGATAGACAATTAGACGGATAGATGGATGTGTAGACGGATAGACGGAGTACAGATGAATAGACGGATAGACAGATAGCCTGACAGTTAGTGTAAAAATAATAAACCCCATGTTAAGGTGAAGTGAACGGAAACATGTGATAGAACAACCAGACACTGATGAGCTCTTGGAACTTTGAAGAACCTTTTGTGATTCACCACCCACAATTTTAAAACTAAAAGTAAAAAATTATTTTATTTTTAAATATTTGAAATATTAATGTTTCAGAGTGATTATGCAAGGACAATCGGCATAAGTTTTGGATATTCTCTTAACCTTAAAGGTTAAAAATAACTTTTATAAACATTGATAAATTGCGTAAATTTGAGCATTAATACTTGAGTATAGTCCGAAAAAGGCAAAAATTAAACATTTAAAAAACTGTGCAGGTTAAAGTGATAATGAGAACTGATAGGTATTAAAACAAGAAGGATCAAGGACTCAACTGCAGGGTGGCCAAAACTTTTTTGAACACATCCGTACAAAAATCCGTACATTTTCAGAAGAAATCCGTACAATCCGTACAATTTTCGAAAAACAATCCGTACAATCCGTACAATTTTTTTTTTAAAAATCCGTACAATCCGTACANAAAAAAAACGGTGTATTTTCCAGGATAAAATCCGTACAATCCGTACAATTTGAAAACAAATCCGTACAATCCGTACAATTTTAGGGTTAAAAAAAATCAATCCGTACAATCCGTACATTTTGGCCACCCTGCAACTGATCAAGGATTCGGGATCCACCTCTAAACGGATCAAGGACTCAACTAATCAAGGATCAAGAACTCGACTAATCAAGGATCAAGGACTCAACTCAAGGACTCAACTAAACAGGAAAAGCATCATTTGACAGGAGAAGTCTAGTCTGGATGTTGCCAACGTAACACTAATTTTAAACTGAAAAAACTTAACAAAAGAAAAATCCAAATATTTTAAACTCTAACCTTTTTCTAGATTGGAAAATTCTAGGATGGATATATTTAAAACATAAGTATGTAAATGACTATTGTATAAAGATTTTAATATCATATTTTTTAGGTTTTTGATCGCTCAAAACTTATAATTCCAGATGAGCGCATATGAAAAATTGGCTTTAAAAATGGCAGGCTGGTCATTCTGCAGATAAAATATCAAGAAAAGGTGAGATATTTTCATTTAGACCAATTGATGGATAGATGGATGGATAGATGGATGGATAGACGAATATACGGATAGAGGATAGACAGATAGACCGGTAGACGGGTAGACGGATAGACAGATAGACAGATAGACAGAGGATAGACAAATAGAAGGATAAACGGATTAACCGTATAAGACAGAAAAAATGGTTAGATGAAGGATAGATGAATAGACAAGATAGACAAATGGACGGACAGACGTATAGGTGGACTGAGGGATAGACGGATAGATGGAAAGATAAGAATACTGTTTGTTTTCCTGAAAGATTTGAGATGAAGAGAGTGACTAGTTCAGGAGGAACAATCTCTAGCAGAGGATTCATACAATCAACCTGGTACAATCAATCAATTAATCAATCAACCTGGTAAAATCACTCAATCAATCAGTCTGGTGCAATCAACCAATCAATCAACATGGTATAATCAATCAACCTGGTACAATCAATCAATGAACCAATGAATTAACCTGGTACAATAAATGAATCAATCAACCTGGTACAATCAATCACTCAATCAGTCAATTGACCAACTTGGTATAATCAACCTGATTCATTCAATCAGTCATCCTGGTACAATCAATCAACCTGGTATTAATAATCAATCAATCAATCAATGAATCAGCCACCCAATTAATCATTCAACCAAAAAAATGAAATTCTGATTAAATCATGCATTTTAATGTTGAATTTTTCATTTTTCACTCAAGAGCATAAAAATCAACCCCGCCGCCAGGCAGGTTTACTCTTTTAAAAATATAATAATAATAATAAAAATAATAATAACTGGATCTGAAATGTACCCAGCATAGTATATGCACACAGCACAGTGCACTGCACAATATTTACGCACTTGCGTTAGTGATACCCCTGGGAAGAAACCTGTTAATTGAGAAATAAAAATTAATATCACTGAAAAGCAGCCAATATTCTAACCTATCCTACAGCATAAAATCTTTTCATTGATTGAGTGAAGTTTTTTTTGGTATCATTATATTTATATGTTCCTGCACTATCTTTCACTTAATTTTTAGTTCTTGCTCAATCTGTGAGCACTGATAATTTTCTTCTCATACATTATAAAAAATCTTCGATTTTAACTTTTAATTGTTGCTCAATCTTTCAACATTTTCTCGTCGATAACACAATAATAAATAATTTTGCGGATTTAATTTTTTTTCGTGGATATACATAATCCCTGGGGTCATTTGAGTAGCCACAAAAATTTGGGCCACAAAGCTTCAGCCCTTTTGACGTTTATTGGTTACATATGTATTATATAATACATATAATATAATATGTATTATATAATACATAGATATCATTATTTTTTCTATTTTAATTTTTTCTTTTTCAACACAAAAATTAATGTGAAGATAACTCACTTTACCCCCTGTTGATGCTTCCAGGTATCCTAGAACAGGTTCAGGGGAGCACAACACAGACCAACTCTAAACAAATATTCAAATTCAATTGAGAAATTATTCTTTTAATGTTTAAGTTACTAAGGTATCCATGGCGC